TATGTCATTAATAGTTAAAGGGAAATAATATAGATTTTTCGAAGCTAAAAATATAATTTTATATCTCCGGGCACGAGCACGTCAAACTTTGCGATCAGTGTCCCGAAAATACTCGGTCTGAACATTTTCCGGGTGTTCCTGACAAACGCGAAACAGAAAAACTCTAGTCAATCGGACCAATCAAAATTCAGCTTGAAAACATCCGCGCCATAGCGTTTTCATCATGGTTACTGTAGAATCCTACAGGTTTGGTTGTTTTCAGGCTCGCTCGTCCTACAAATACTGAAACTTCTACTACCCTTTAAATATTGTTAACTTTAAATAGTGTTAACTAGTAATACCTTTAAGTGTTGCTACCCAATGTATCTTTCATTTGGTTTATTGATTGGCGGTGGTGGCTTGTCTCCAATCCTGGATGGCCAATATATTTCATGGCGATGCCAAAGTATATCAAAATGTTGAATCAGCTTTCTTCTGAAGCTCTTCAAAGAAAGGGTGCACACCGGGATAGCCGCTGGAACAGCTACTGTTTTATCATCAATAGCCATGAAATCCATGGCATCTCCATTATCGTCATCACTATCCTTGTCACTGTCATCACTGTCATCACTCTCTTTGTTTGTACAATCAATGCCCACTCCCATGCCAGAGGAATCGTGAGTTAGCATGTCCTCAACTACACGAGGTGGGATTTGTGGCAATGCAGTTCCAAAAAGGTCGCAGATGTCATCACGGTCATGATCCCCATCTTCTCCTCCAAGATAGCGGGATGCATTCCATCCTTCATCCAGACCATCCTCCGCCAATAAAACGTTGTGGAGGGCGCAGCAAGTCAGCCATATTCTGTCGCAAACTTCTATTCCATGTAGGGGAATTCCTGTTATGATGCCAAAGGTACACTCCACGTCTTTCCTCATGCTTTCCAACCACTTGCTAAAACATCTCCTGTAGTTGAGTCGATACAGCTCATCAGCCTTGTTGGAGGGCCATAGGGTTGGGCATTGCCCATGACGCCTTGAATCGGAGTTTTTGTGTTTGTTTGATTGTTGTGCTGATGATTCGTTGGACCCAAAATCCTGTTTGGTTGGACGTCAAAAATCCAACATTCCAGGAGCTCTGGAATGTTGGATTTTCATTTTCCCAACATTCGTGAAACAGAAGAAGTCTGTAGAGCTGGTAGGATTTCTACGTTGGTACATATTCTACCTACGGTATTTCCTGTTTCGCGTTCGCGAATGTTGACCGTGTGGATTGGCCTAAGGACTTCCTTGTTTGTCTGTCCCCCAAACAAATCCACTTCGGGGCGTTCTTAACAAACAAAAAATGCACCACGTGTCTCATTTGCACCACGGCGGAATTTGGTGCATATTTGACCATTCCTAACAAAAACGGTGCCGCATTACCGGCCCTGTGCGGCAGTACCGGCCCTGCGTACAATTCTTTAAGTAAACACATGTAGATGCACTAAGGTGCGGTCAATTTTTTCCGCGACACGCAACAACAACAAAACAACAACAACAAGATGCTCGATTTTGATCTTGATGATGATTATGACACTGCTTTATTTTTTGCTCTCGCGCATTTAACACAACAACAAACGAGAAGACCCAAGTATCCAACGGAACGGGTCAATTGGGACGAACATCTTCAGAAAGAGTTGTATCAGAACTCGTTTCATAGGACATATCGCATGTCCTATCCCTCTTTCATGAAGCTAAAAGGATTATTGGGGGACAAAATAGTGCTAAACCAATATATAGTCCCAGAACTTCGTACAACAGGGGGCAGTGTCGCAGGATTCCTCTTTGCTGTAGTTATGGGTGCGACTTTCCTCTTGTGGCGGTCATGATTGTTGTCTTGGCGATACATCTCATCCATGTTCATTTGTGAGACAAGTCTTTGTTTTGCAATCATATCACAAAGAACTCCCTTCCTCTTTCTAGTATAAGAAGACACTTTGAGGTTCTTCCCTATGACACGACAGTCAGAGGCTGTGAGATTGGCTGCGGGAATACCTTTGATTGTGCAAAGGCATGTTTTTTGAGACTCCACGCCCACCAGATTAACAGGCTCTGGTGTAACAACAACAACATCCCATAAATACTGTCCTCGATACTACTTGTGTTGCATGCTGGAGAACACACAAAGTCAATTTCATCAAAACCCGCAGCTTGACAGCACAAGTTATGCACTGGTTCGCCACATCCTCGGCAAACAATGGCAAAGACGGATACATGCAGCCGGTCTTCATGCCACAACGCTGTTCTTGGGATGGGGAAAGATTGTTTGAAGCCATTTGTCTTATTGTTGGATATGCATTGATGTAAAGCAACTGTGTTTTCATCAGAGATGACATACCGGAGGCAGGTAAGCATTCTCAGTTCAGGATTCCAACAATTTTGATTGGTAAATATTTTTTTGGGAGCACGTGCCAAGTCCATGATGCCGTGGTGCATCGCGGTGCATCGTGGTGCATCGTGGTGCATTTCAAATGCATACGCAAAAATCCGGGTTAGCATGGTGCATCGTGGTGCATCGTGGTGCATCGTGGTGCACTTTTTTTTTTTGTTAAGAACGCGCCTGAGAGCAGAGCGTTGATGTGACTCCCAATCAAATTGGACATCCCCCGGATGACATGCAAGGTTCTACGAAGACTTCGGTACGAAGCCAAAAAGAAGGGAACTCTGTGGCTTCCAATCAAAATGGACACGGAGATTTCTCTCTGTCTATCGTTAATTGTCGGTCCTTTCGCCCATGATTCTTTTTTGGTAGGACAAAAATCGCTGTCTATACTACGGGGCTTCTTGCCAAAACCCGTTCAAAATGAGACCCTAGTTCGCTACGAGAATTGTACATTAAAACAAGCACATTATATTTACCAAAAGACACCGGCACGGTCAGTCTGGCCTCCACCTCCAACAGGTCGCTTGAATAATGTGAGTGGATGGACAGACAAAGAGTTGGAAAATAAGTTTGGCACCGACGTCTCTCAAAAAAGTAGCAACACACATGACACAATCCAAAAAAGTAGCTTTGCACATGAAAACAACCTGCCCCCGCCCTTCCCCAAGGTCACGGTCCATCATAACTTGTTGTCATTGCCTTAGACAAGAACGCATTCCCCATGTCTCTCTTGGCCAAACCATCATCACAAAGTTATTTAGAAGACCAATTGCAAAATGCAAAAGCAAGGGTGTTGGATATATTAGGATTTTCGAAGTACATATTTGGAGAAACGAGAAAAAGAGAATACATGTGAACGATAGAGAAATGACGTCGACTGATACGACTAAAAATGAAGACTGATGCGACTAAAAACATCGCGCGTGGCAAGTCAGAAAAGACAATTTATTTCTATGGAAATCATCCTGTTGATGATGTAAGGAAGCAAGATTCAAGCAAGAACCAAAGTTGGATACTAATCAAAGTACCGACTACAGTGGAAGATGAACGGATAAAGAGATTGAACTTGCAGCATATCAGGCTGACGTAGAGAGAATTCTGAGAATTTCCACTGAGCTGGAGAAGAAAGAGTCAAAGTCAAAAGTTGACAGACTGTTCTCACTTTTTATAATATATTGCAAGCAACGAGTGAATTGGTTGATAAAGTAGGATCTCTGATAGATCTATATACTTCTATATACTGTAAATTCATATACTTAGAAGGCAACAATACCTGGACAGCTAAATCGCAGTCAATTGAACAGGTAGATTGCAGGCGGCACTGGATCGCTTACTTCTAACATATATTATAAAAAGTCACTGAATTGAATTGGGAGTCGATATATTCCTATGAGTCGGTTTTTGCAGGGAATCTGAAAACATGGAATTGTGTGCTTGGACTATCAAACGTCTGAGCGCCACGAAAATCCCATACTGAATCCTGCGGGAGTTCTGTACGTGGGTTTTGTACCGGCCTTTCTGGATTGCAAACATCCAGTAAAGGTTTGGGAAATTTGAGTTTTCGTGCAAGGCTCTTGCTTTGCCCATTCCATGTAGATAACAAGTCTTTTAGAATAGTTATTTCCTGTAGAGATGATTATTTCCTATTAGGCGGATCGGAGATCGCTATGGACGGTGCCTCTGCATGATGGGTCGCATGCTGACACGGCTGGTTGGCAATTATGGCTTGATGGGCCACAACGTTGTCAATCGGTTTGGACGAAGACAAGCAGTCTGATGTCCGCCAGAACCGATTACCAACAGTTTTCTTTCCAGGTTTGTCTGTGTTTACGGTCCGTATCAGACATACCCAGTACGATATGGTATGTACATACCCAACATACTTTAGGCCCAACAGAATCCAGTCATTTCTGAGAACAATTGTACTTTTAATCGGTATACGGGACAATACCGGTTCCAGAAAGTTTTTTATAACATGCTTTTTCTACACGCGCGCCGTAGGCAATGTACATGAAAATTGTTGAACCCCACGTGCGCATGGTACTTTGATTTCTGCTTTGGTCTTAGAAGATTGATTCCCAAAAAGGCCTTCCTTGGGAGCACAATTTGTAACAATTGGGAAAATAATTTGATTTTGTAACTATTATGATGCTTTTGGTCAGAAGCGTCTGGCAGGCGTGATGAAGAACCGTGTTGAAAAAGTGTTGCCACGTGAGCTCATAAATATTTGGAATGACTCCAGAAGTATACAATTCTGGTACGCGAAATAAACGCATATTGCAGTAGCAAATGAGAGAAAGGAAGCAGTTGAAATTGTGGTAGTGTTCGTGTTTTCCGTGAATTTGGTGGCTTCCTTTCTAAGAATTGTTGCAAAATTGTTGTGGGAAAGAGCAGGAACAAGGCTTGTCAAGATGGTTCTCGCAAAAAAAAGAACAAGACCGTGCCAGGAAAGAGGATGCAAAAGGAGTAAAAAGCAAGAAAGTGATAAGAACACAAGGAATTCTGACACAAAGAATTCTGAGAAATTGTCACCGGAAGATGCAATGCAGCAAAAAATTGCCATCAACATCATCAGTGCTGTAGCAGAAGAGTGTGAGCTTTCTGCCAAGGAATATCAAGAAAAATTTGACGAAGTTACTCAGCAATGGGAACCTAAGTTTGCAACAATTGCCCTCTTTATCAGCTGGGCCAAACATAATTGTCGCCACTTCAACAACAATACTATATCTCTTGTTCAAACTATCGCAGATCAATGTGGAATTATTACACTCGATCTCATGGAAGAAGTGAAATCATATCGTATGGTTCGGGCTGAAGGCGGCAATAGCTACCAAATGCAATTTGCCAAAACAAAAGGTCAAGACGAAAGTGAGGTTCGGGCAGTAGTGTTGGGATATGACGAAATATGAGTTTTTACGTTCCAAACGAAACTATTCAAGTACGAGGTTTTCGACACGTGCGATCGGAATTTGATCGTGCAAGATGTCGGGATTCGACGCAAGTATGCCGGAC